CTGTGAATAATTAAATGGGCATGTGGTGGTATCCCTGAGGAGCTAAACGGAGCAGTTCGAATGAGCACCCACCTCTACAGCATGGTGTGGGGCCACCGGCCTTGGAGAGCGGCAGCATTATAATCACGTGGGTGGTGATTTGTCACACCATTTAATTTGTTTTTCCTTCTAAAATGAATTCAGAGCAGAAACAGCCTTCACGAGCTGGAAGACAGTACGACTATACACCGACTGTCGTCTCTTGGGAAATATTACTGTAATGTGCCTGTACTTTAAAATGCAGCCGATTCCTAGCAAATGTCACCGTGTGAAGGCAGTCTCCTCGGTGTTTTTAAATTGGTTACCTTCACCCATTAAGCTCTAGTGGATAAAAGCGGGCACTTAATATTCAGTGGGTATGCTGAGACTATCCTTCTTTGTATGCTCAATTTCCTAAAATCACATAACCTTTTGTTATCTTGTAATACATAAAAGGGATGGTTGGAGTCGAGAAAACTATTTACTATGTCAGATAAACAAGTCACAAAATTCCATTTAAAGTACTTACGCCCTGCATGGCACTGCACCTCGGAGGGAACTCTTGCATTAGCTTGGGCTGAGTTCTTTTCATGTTTCTCAAGGAAGTCTGATTTTAAAACAATGCTTTCCCAGTCACACCACCTAGGAACATGACTGGATTTCTTGGGTGATTTCCTTTTTCCATTCCCTCTATGCTTTTCTGTTTTTCTATGTCAGGATGTTTCTCATTCATGTGTCTTTCTGGGGCCAGAGGCTGTTTGTCTTTTTGGTTTTTCCCCTTAAATTTGTGAACAAGTCCTGGTGTCCGTGGAGGCGGAGGAGTAACTGGATCGCCTAGAGACAGCGATGTATACCTTAGCCAGCTGCAGCGCAAGCCTCTGCCATCAGCTCGCGGAGCCCTCCTCAGCTCCAGTCCGAACACCCCGGAAGCAGGCAGACCCCGCGGCTCTGTCCCTGCTCCTCATGACACGGACAGACACGTCCAGGTTGCCTGTGCTTGCTGAACTGAAACCCCCTTGAGTACCTTGCGCTACCTGAAGTCAACATTTATTTAATTCTGCAGAAGAGTCAAGCTGGTCGTATGTGAAATGGTTAGAGCTTTAAAAAAAAATAGCCACTGGGAGGTAGTAAAAGATGCATAGGAAAACCAGCTTCTTTAAGTAATTCTTTTGTGTTGAATACCTCTTTACTCATATGACCCAGCGTCTGCCTAGACTTATTCACACATGAAATGCTAGGTAGAAGTATAAGGCAACTCCATCGACACTTCTAAAACTTCAAGCTTACCATGAACGATAGAAGAAATAGATTTTAGAACAGCATAGGGTTCACTGGCACCAGAAGTTCAGATTGGAGGATTTTAAAAATATATAGTTTCTCTCTTAACCATTTTAAGATGCACACATCAGAAGTTTTTTAAGTTCATTCACGATATTGTGCAGCAGATCTCCCGGACTTTTCCATTTTGCCTACTAAGACTCATGTGCTCATGATCCAGCAAGTTCCCGTCTTCTTATTTTTCCTTGTCTCCCCTCCCTTCCTCACTTCCTTCTGTTTTCTTGTGATGGCCAATGTGGAAAGCCAAGGAAAGTGCAGACTTACGGATACAGTGACATCAGTTTTCCAGTGTCTGACTGTTGGCGTTCTAAGTGAGGGTGATGTCCAGCAGGATGACTATTTGGTGACCTGAACACACCTCTTGGGGGCTCACAGTGGTTCACAGAGCCTGGCACAGGAACTCAGCATCTCAGGATCTACCAGATTTCTCACACCACCTTCATTTCAACGATCTGAGAAGAAGATAAGGTGACCTAAGATAGGAATCTATGTTTTTGATTATTTACCATTTAGAAGAAAGCTTATAGCAATGGTAGGAGACATAGGATCAGGATTTGAGTCTCATTTTCATCGTTTGCATAATTTGTGGCCACGTGCCAGGAAGACCCTGTGAGCTCCTCGTTTTTATGTGGTAGATCGATTTCTGGGGCCTGTACTGCGATGTTGTTGTTTTGCTCTTCATCTTCTACTGCTCTGCTTTGCCTTACCCCATCACAGCCACTTCCAGAGAGAGGCTTAGCTGAGGAATGCTGGCCGTCAGGAGGACAGTGGGGAATATGTGCTTTGCATCGTGTGGCAGAGCTGAAGCTTGGGCAGTCCTCCGCAGAGATTCACTGAATGCTGTCCCGAGGTTTCTACCCACCTTGGCAGTGCTCTGTCCTGCTTAGAATGTGGCTTAGAATGTGCCACCAAACTTTCTTTGATGCCAGTTGTAAAGTTGAATTGAGGAATAGCAAATTATAAGTCTGATTCATAAAAGTCAGCTCATCCATCAGAATGTGTTTGTTCTCCCCATGCTTTTGTGTTTTGAGGTTTGCTTGGTTGTAAATTTCACCTGCACTATAAACAGCACAGGTAATCTGTTCGGGAGTGAACTTTTTAGCGAAAGTCAAAGGAAAAAAATCAATTTAGCTGGTTTTGACTTATAACAGTTAAAAGAAAAATTGAAAGTATTGGATTTTGGATAAGTACTTTTGCTTCACAGTTTGAGGGTTGAGTGGCTGTTAAAATATCGCTCATTAAATTGGCTTGTGATTTGGATTATTCTGCTTTACTATTTTGAAACTGTAAAATCAACCAAGTAATGAAGTGGGCTGCACATGGTGTGTTTCATGTGAAGGGCCATCAGGCTCTTCGGCACATCCCCTGTGGATCAAGTGGCTCAGACCTTTGAATACGGCGTGTCACCGGAGCGGGCAAGAGAAAAGCTTTGTATTTCTAAGCAGTGCCTGATTTGTTGCTAAAGGACTAGCATTAGTCATAGGATTTGAGGGGTAGAGATAAACATTCATGGCATACACAACACATACATGTACACGTGTGTGTGTACAAGGGGTCCGACAGTTTGTCAACAGTTCTGGGGATGAAAGAGGCACTAGTGCGGCCTAAGGGCATGGGGTTCATTTTCTGGACAGTGTGATTCACATTTCACTTTCTCTGCGTGTCGTTAACTGGTGGCTGTCCCAGGGCGCTTCATCTTTTCAAGTCTCCGTTTTCTCATCTATAGATTGAGGCTAATACTTTCAGTCTCATCTTGTGAAAATGGCCCAAAACTCTATGGGGAATGTCGCTATCACAGTGCCAGAAACAGGTAAGAATCGGGAAAGCGAGCGATAGCATCACTTACCGTCAACAGGATGAGTGGCTCGCCATGTTATTTGTTTACATAGGATTTTTAGAGAACGATTATCATGGGAAAATCTCTCTGCTTCTGTGACTGATGAGGTCACTTTGTGTCTGGTGAGCTGTGTGCCATGGCTGCCACCATGGAGGAGCCCTGCCTCTGCTGCCCACGCAGATACTCTCGCACCTCCAGGCGGCTACTCCAGTTAGTCCAGTTCCCCAGCACACTGGGGATGGTACAGCAAGGAGGCGAATTCGTGAGCACAGGGGTTCATCTTCTTTCTTTTGGGCCTCATCTTACCATAGCTCTGGCATAGGATAGGTGCTTAGTCAGGACCGCAGTCAGACGTGAAACCTATGATCATTAGTTCAGGATTCTTTCATCCGTCAGAAAAATGTACAGCAGTCGATAGTGTCTTTCCTCTCAGACAAATGACTTCTTAAAAGTCAGATTTTTATGGGGCCTTGGTGTGAACTGAATGGTTTTCTGTCAAAAGGTGTATGTTGGAGCCCAGTGTGGTGGCACATGCCTGTAATCCCGGCATTCTGGGAGTGTGAGGCCAGAGCATCGAAAAAGAGCAGTGTGGACAGTTCAGTGGCTTAGTGAGACCCTGTCTCAAAACTTAAAAATTCAAAAAAGTACTGAGAACATAGCTCAGTGTGAAGGTCCTGGGTTTAGTCTTAATCTCCCCCGCATATATATGGTTCATATATATGCATATATATGGTGTATATATATGCATATATATATATATATATGTGTGTGTGTGTGTGTGTGTGTGTGTGTGTGTGTGTGTGTGTGTGTTGCAGTTCATATACATGCATATATGTGTGTATATATCCTAAGGTTCTTTTATATATATGGTTATACATATATGGTTCACACAACACACATATGTATCTTCTAAGGTTCATATATGTTTGAACCCTTAGAACCTTAGGACGTACTTGGAGATAAGGTCTCTGCAGTGGTAATCAAGTGAAAATGGAGCCATTAGGGTGACTGATCCAGTATAACTTGTGTCCTTATGGAAGGGAGATTTGGACAGATACATCAGAGACAGACGGAGGGAAGACACTGGAAGAATGAGGGAAGATCTGGGACTCTGTCAGCCACAGAGAGAGGGAGGCCTGGAAAAGATCCTCCCCTGTAACTCTGGGAAGAAGCCCTGCCCACCCCTGGACAGTGGGCTTGGGCACCCCCAACTGTGCCTGTTGTCTAAGCCGCCCAGCTCACGGGGCTTTGTTATGGGAGTTCTAGCAGAGAATACAGCCCTGCAAAATACAGAGAGAGCTGGACTGTGGAGGAGAGAAAAAGGTACAATACCTGAGGTTACATTTTCTATTCAAAATGTTAGTTCAGTGTAGGTTTATTTGTAGCATGGTTTTTCAGTACTCAAAATAAGGGAAACAGGGAACTGCTTCTGATAAATTTCTAATGCCTTCTCCTGGGGGATTGATCGAGTACAAAGGGTTCAGAGTAGTCCTAAAAGAAATATCTGTCAGCCATCTGCAAGAGACATGTTTATATACACGTTCGGTAAATCTCAGTTCTCTGGCAAGCGAGAGCCTCTTCTGAGAAGATTCTGTAGGAAGGCGGCCATGATGGCAAAAGCATGGAAACAAGAAATACTATTTTTGACATATATATCTTTAAAACATCGACTTTCCCCCACAAAGCTAAACAAAATATTTTTCAGAAATAGAAATAAGAATTGTGAAAGAAAAACGTGGTACTTCTAGAAAAATGCTTTGAAGCCATTTTTAGTTGAGAATGAATAAATCTTATTTCCACAGGTCCTTCTTTTGACTTGTCCCAATACAAGTGAATTGTGGAAGGTCAAACGAGACTTTTTCTGGTACTGAGAAAGAAAACTGCTAAATGACTGTGAAAGTAATGATGAAAAAATTCAAAACCAACTTTCTTATGTGAGTTTCCTGTGAGTTCTCCCATGAGTTGGTGCTTTCTCCCCACGACAGCTTCTTCTCCCCTAAACCTGGTCCTTGCTGCTTGAGGGGAGAAGTCTGGGTTACTGAGGGTGTCACTGGGTTACTGAGATGCCAGAGTGTGCACAGACCCTCGGCTGGGGGAAGTGTGAATCCAGGGCCCTGGGCCTTCTCCACTAGCCTCAGGGTAAATAGGAGTGTGGCTAATTCCCTTGAGACTTTAAGAGGCTTGATTCTGTCACCGTGGCAGTCATTACTGTTCTGGACTTTACTGTACTGTGACATTTTACTGAAGAATAAACTGTTAGTATCTGAAAGAAGTCCTTGGCCTAACAGGAAATCATTAAAGAAACAGAATGAAAGGAGACTCAGAGTACTTCTGAGTTGTTTCTTTCTCCTCCTCGGGCAGCATGGGTTAGGAAAACTTGGAAAGTGTCTTGTGCCTTGTGCCTGAGACAGCAGAGAGTGTTTGCATCTGGTGTCTTCTCCCACAAAATCTGGAGAGGGGCTGAGAGTTTGGATGTGGGACACAGGAAATGTTTCATATTTTACGATTTAATTTTAGATGCATCCATAGTTTCTCTGTTGAGAGAAAGCCTTCAGAGATACGTTTTACATACATGTTCGATACCTGCAGTTTGTCTCCGTTGTGAATCTCCCTTCCTAGCTTTGAGGAAAGCATGGGTCTGATACTGTTTGTCCCTGATGCCGTTGGAGGCTGTAGGGTGGTTTGCCCCCCCCCCCGACCCTGAGTTGCACTGGAAAAGTGTAGCTCAGCTGCTCATGTTCATGAAAAGGAAATCCAGTCTTTCTTTGAATCTCAAAGAAACGAGAGCCAGTGAAATCCTCCCGGAGCCTCCCCAGCCTGATGGGTGAGCCTAGGCACCAGCTTCCCATCAGTGTGGCTTTCCCCTTCCACCTTTGCTTAATCTTTGCTTCCTCTCCCGCAGTCCCTGACTTGGCCTGCACAGTTCTGTCCGTGTGAGTCTTCTGAACTGATGCCACAGATCTTGAAGCACAAGACAGCCAGGAGCCAGGCTCGGGAGAAGGGGATGGAGCAAGGATGGGTGTGGGGAAGGCGGGCGAGGCTGACTGTGTGACATAACTTCCAGGATGGTAAAGGAAAATCAGGAAGAAAGGAGGTCACCTTTATGGGAGGCCTCCAGTTTCATATATGCTAACTTTGGCAGACTTGTTTCCATGTGTCAGGTTAGATGATTGCAGATTTCTGCTCACTATTTTGGAACTGCATATTCTGTTTTCTATTTTACTCCATAAATTAAAGAATGGTGAAACAATGACTCAGTACAAACTTGTGAACTCCAGTGATCTCTCCTGCTTTACACATGAAGATGTGTGACCTTGAAAAGTTACATACTTTGAAAAAGTTGAGATTTCCCTGCAGCGTCAGAACTATTTTCAACTCAGTAAATTCAGGTCTAAGATCTTCCATTACACTGCGTGGCCTAAGACACTGTCTTCATTACCACTGTCTCTTTGTAGGAGTATTGAATTCACCATGCACATCTGTTAGACCTGTTTTGCTTTTATGTTACTAAAAAATATTCCTATTTTAACAACAGAGTAGGAAAATAAAACAAATTCAAAGCAAGTCATTTAGTGTGACTTTATAGATTGAAAATTAGTGAGGGACCAGCTGCTGATTATTTATGCCCTATTAGCTTCTGTTTTCAAAACCTGCATTCTCTACACATTCCCTCTGTTACCGGATTATGGCAGATGGAGCCCTACACTGTGTCCCAAGCACCCACTGCCTTTACAAGTTTGTCTGTATGGTTTTTCAGTGAAAGCCTTGGGCCACAAGTAACCTTAGGCTAAATCTTAGGGTATGAGCATTAAAGTTGAGCTGCTCACAGAAGGAGAGAGGGTTCTCAGTTCTCTGTCAGCTTGGCCTATCTCCCTTGTTCCCGATGGAAGATTTCTCAGAATAGAGCTTAATATCCCCTGGCCAGGTGAGCGGAGCCAGAGAAGCTGACTGTCATCAGCAAGGTCGCAGAATTATTCGTGACCCAGGAAGGTTGAGAAGTCCACTTAGAACATTTTATACTGCCTCAATAAAGAGCAATTGAACAGAGTTGCAAGTGTAAGCTTTATTCGGTCCGACCTTTACTAAGAGTTTTGCTTCTGGGACTGCAGCTCTGTGAGAAAGTCGCTGTTATTACCCCCACTCTGTGGAATGTGATACTGAAACAGAAAACGCTTAACAGTAGACACCTAAAGTCACGTGGCCAGAGCCATCTCTTAAACAGTGTTTCTATTTTCTCACTCTCTTGGCTTCCCATTTAACACCACAAATTCTCTCTCATTTACTTATATATCTCACATAACTGTTGCTCAGTGTCCTTCTCAGTCCATTCCCTTGCCCTATACTACGGAATGGTGGTTCCCAGAATTCTTTCCTCCCTGACACCCACATTGAATACCTCCACCTGTAGGATGCTGCTGAAGGTCACTCAAAATTGCCTGGGTTTGTATGAGTCCTAGTACATAGACTGGAACTGGACTCCTCTCAGAACAGCTGGCGGTGTTCCTTACACCTAATTTCACCACCCAGTCACAGTGCTTAACAATCACTAGGGCGTGATGGCGTGTGTCATGGACTTCCGGTAGTCTGAGAGTATCCTTTTGGCTGCCACCTTAGAGTCTGAGGCAGCAGAATTTAATCTGCATTACCCTAGTGTAAATCAAGTAGCTCCTCCTGGCTGTACCCTGAGCTTTCTCTTCTCACAGCTGGTCTGGAGGACATATTTGCTCTTTGGAGATCTCCAGAGAACTGAATGTCCGAACAGATATGATTTATTCTGGCAGTGCTTTTTGTCTCACTTGTCTCCACTGCCTTATACAGTATTTGACTCACAGGAGATACCTAGTAGATGTGGCAGTTTGGTTACTCTTCTCCCCTTGCAGATAATACAGCTAATTGCTTCTCTGGATGTAAGTGACCTAGTGTAGCAGATTGGATTTTCCAAAGGTGTGACAACATCACACCATGTCCCATCCTATACACACTCTGTACAGTGTGCCATGTCTACTCTGTCATCAAACGTAAAGTGTACTTTCTTTCCACGTGAATCTGGGTAGACCTTGTGAATGCCTTGGCCAGTAGAATGTGAAAGAAATAACGCAGTGTGAGTTTTAAGACTGGGTCTTAAAGGAACTATGGCTTTATTTGGCTGTCTGTCTCTCCCTCCCTCTCTCTCTCTCTCAGCCAAGTCTTCCCAGCTCAGTTCCAGACACACACTGAAAACAGCCTTCAGGATGACCCAAATCTGAGCCACGGAGTGAGTACAACCTTACGAAAAATCCAGAGACCGAATCTCCTGGCTAACATACTCTGAAATCCCTGACCCACAAAGCCATGAAAGATAGTACATGATTATTTACATCACTGAGTTTTAGAATAGTGTGCTACACAGCATTAGGTAACTGGAACTACAAGCATTACAGGATGTATATTTCATTTTTCATATAAAAATTTGATTATTGTTCTGTTTTGGCTTTGTGATCTTTATTTTGTACCATGGTAGCTGTTTCTCAAAGAATATTAAATTTTTTCCTATTGCTTTCTTCTGCTGTATTGGAACATTCTAATATAAATTCTTTATCAGCAGCAAGCAGCTTTTTCAGCTTAAATATGTATTCCTTTCATTTGTCACCAAAATTTCTCCCTTAAGAACAGTTGGAGCAGCATTCCAGGTATTTAAGGTTTTTGTACCTTAATCAAAGCATAGTAGAGGAAACCAACTGTTGAACTATAGAGTATTTCATGGATGTTGAGATAAGATTAAAATAAAAGGAAAATGTATGAGAAACTGTCTGCAGGCATCTCTGAAAATATTGTTTAAAGATACTTCTCTTATTTTGACAAATTTCTAGAGAATGTTTATATTTGAGGTTGGTATTATCAGACTCTTAGAAAAGTATGCATTATTATTCATAATATAGTGGGTTTGACAGATTCTGAATGAATTACAACAGTGGTTGACATTTGTAAATAGTCATATTTTACTCCCACTGTATTCTATTGAGTCAGGTAAGAGAGATTTGAGTCAGATCAATGACTATGGCACATAAAATAATAAACTCTTTCAAAAACATAACAGTATAAATTATGTGTGCTTGTGGCAGTAGTTGGGAAAATAAACATAAAAGTCCAAAATAGTATAGTTTGGAAACCTAATAATCTATCAGCTATTAGAATCACAGGCAAGATGTCATTACTCTGAAATATAACAAGGTTGAAAAGTGTTTGGATGTGTTTTCCTTCACATGAACCAAATGAGTTCGTTGATTATCTGGATTATAGATCAACTGGAGTGAGACTTCCTACTGCCTCTTTGGTGAATAATAAAACATATACTGTGTGTGTTTGTGTGTGTGTTTGCATACCTATTCATAAAGAGTTTAACATGTAAATAACAAGGGCATGTGATAAAAAAATTGGATTAGTTAAATGGAAGTTAAGGGCAGTAAGATCAAGAGTGAGGTTAAGAATTCCTGTTGTTAGGTCTCATAGATGGTGTTTTAATGGTGATGACTGGAAGATTTTCCCAATCCATGATTTGGCATACTTTCTCTTTCTTTTCTCTTCTCATGATGGAACCAAACTCGTTACACTAGAGGTGATTGCTCCTGCACCTGCACCAAGGAGTGGTAGAGATGGTGAAGGCACTGATATTTTGGAGTGACGGGGACAGTACTGAAGAGATTAAAGCTTTAAATTGCTGGCGCTTATTCTGTGGAAAATAAACTGAGCCCTAAATTCAGAGTTCCGAGGTAAGGGTAAGTGGCATGGTAACTGGGAGTCACGTGTGTTCTGGTTACATTTCTGCCAGCCTTTGGAACAGAGCTGTAGAAAGGCAAGGGATGCCTTCTGAGCAAGGGCTAGATGGAAGAGAAATGCAAACATTGCTTGGTTTAGGATGCTAGGATTATGGGCTCATTTTTATTTCGTCTTTATGATCATTTTAATGTTGTTTTAAGTATCTTTATGATATAAATAAGAAAAAATAAAAAAGGTTTGTTACTTATTGGATATTACTGGCCTCTGGGGTTTTTGAGGTCTTTGGAGAGGAGACTGTCATTATGCAGACAGGTTTATTCAATCATTCAAGCAATATTTACCTGGCAAGGCATTGTGGGAAACAGAATCCCAATGGAGACACTGTTCTTTCAGAGTTGGAAGGGCCTTAAGAAATAAAATAACATGCTCTGTGTATTAACCACATGAATGGTTTTATTATAACAAAAGGAACTGGGGTGTCTTTGAGGACAGAGTACACTCTCACTTAGACTGGGAAGAATGGTAACAGTTGGTAACCATGGAGACAAAAAGTCTGATCGAGTTAGCTATATATTTTCAGTTCTTTCTCCTTTCAGGCATGTGGTAGAATCACATGGCTTAAGGTTTGGTAGAACCACATGCCTGGGTATTACAATGAATTGTGTCACTTTGGATTTCTGATACAAGATCCCTCTGGCCTGGCTTCTAACAGCGTTTGAGCTGAGAGTTGAACCCTCGGCTTGGGAGCCTCGAGTAACCAAGGAGGGTAGAGCTGCCCCAGCGGCCAACTGTGGACAGGTAGCAGCCCAGAAGTAAATATTTTTGCTACAAACTTCTGAAATTTGGGGGCTGCCTCTTATCCTGTCAACACTGAGATTAATCTAATGATGTACAGTGAAAAGATATTCAGAGTAAAAAACAGTATTAAGTGAGGTAATGAGGAAATATTAGCAAATTAATTTCGGTTGGAGCCTGGGAATGTCAGTGAGAATGTTGACAAACATGGCTAGAAAGAGATCTGGGACCTACGAAGGCAAGCCTAGAACTCTGGACTAATGGTTAGAAAAGAACAACTCTTGAAGGCATAGCAGGGCCTTGCCCTTAATTCAGTTTACCATCCATGTTTCAGTCGCAACCTGAAAGTATGTAAACTTATATTCAAAGGAGAGACCTCTCTAAAACATTTTGGCCAATTTAAAAAAATAGTTAAAGTCTAACAACAAAATAATAAAAACATAGTAAAAATACATTGATGATGAAATATCCAAGGCAATAATTGTTCTCCACAGAGCAGCCATTGTGTGAAATCAGTGTAGCTGTCTGACTTTGCTTCTTCTCCCCTGGGCACGGTGGGTCTGCTTTCTGGGCGTAGTGCGGTACTCGGGGAGGATTCGGTGCTAGGCACAGTTGTATTCCCCTGAGGAGAATTTCTCTCCCACGACTAGGTGGCTTGATCTTCTGCGTCAGGTTTCTATTGTTAGGTGTTATGTATTTCTCCAGAGCATGGTGAATATGTGTTAAGCTTTATAAAATATTTGAAGAGACATTAAGAAAAATACATCCTGTATGAACAAGATGGCAATGATAATACAATTAGAATTGAATCTGAGATTGGTGAGGGAAATTTAGTTTGATTTGCATCAAACAAGCTCAATTCTATGAGTGGCTGGTAAAGGTAAATCTAATTTCTGAAGTTCTTGAACATTCTCATTTCTAAGCAAGGCTTTAATATCATTTGAATGCAGTTTTTTACATATGAATTAATATAATAAATGTCAATGTTGAATAGAATAAGGTCACATTTTACTACTTTGACCAGAAGTGTAATCTTCCAAGATTCAATTTTATTACTATTATAACAGTCATACTGGATAAGGTCACCAATATTTCTTTCCAAATGATATGATATATGACGACAGCCTTTATACCAACTTTAGTTTTTACAATTTGGATTTATATCCTGAAACATGTTGACAAAGATATACCATGGACCTTTTCTGGTCAAGTGGCAGCCTGGAGAAGATGTTTCCTTCTAATTTATGAGAAATTTGAAAATGGATAAATGGAGCCATTGAAATGTAGCATTTTCTTGATCATATCATCCCCTTGCCAAGTGATAATGAAATTCTTGTGACGTTTTAGTCTTCTACTTGAGAGGAAAAGGTGATGTTTAAAGACTCATCAGGACATGAAAGCCAGAACTGCTCTCCGCTCCCTGGCCAAGTATGAGGCAGCCACCTTTTGAGTGGCGTGTTCATTGAGTTCGAAGAGCTCTGGGCTAGCAGCGGTGGCAAAAGGCAACTAGCAAAACACTTACCTGAACCCTCTTCCGCTACAGTCTGGACCAGGCACCAACTTCCACTTGCGCATTTCCGGGGGCGCCAACAGCGGTGCCTGCCTGTGACTCAGGAAGATTAGATGAGGGAGGTCTGAAATGTGCTTGGGACTGAGTTTGGCTCATTATATGGGCTCAATAAACATAGGCTGTTGCTGTTACTGTTATAAATATTCAGTAGGCAACTACCTCACAAGACAGTGTAATTTCATCTTTCCAGAACTCTCTTTTAAAAGTCTTGCTTTTAAAAAATAAAATAAAATAAAAGTTTTCCTTTTATATTGAATCCAAAGTTATCTATGTATTTTTTCTGCTTGACTACTTTTGACTTTGGGGAACATAAATGAGAACAATGATGCCAGTATTGGCTAAAATATAAGGCAATTCTTAAAAATAGTTTTTTTCCTCTGCTCTGCACCCATGAAATTATGTCCTTCAAAACAATGGAAATTTCCTAGTGTTGCTACAATACCATTTTTGTGTCAAACAAAATAGTGTTTTCTTGATATTATGTTGATTATTCCTCATTTCTTAATATCAAGGACTCAAATGAGACATGCATATTATATTTGGCTATTATTTTGGTAATTTATAGTTGGATATTTTTATGCCTTTGGTTTCTTTAAATTAATTTGTCCTATAGACAGATTTGTATACTGTGGATCAATCTGTTTGCTTTCCGTGGTATTATTTCACTTGTTTCTCTATTTTTTGTGTTTGGTGAAAATACATTAGCTCTGAAGTGGGCTGTCTAGTAGGACACAAGGAAACTGGCTGCATAATTTAAATGAAATGAAATTTAAAATTCGGTTGTGAATTTGCTTTCTCTTCACATCAACAGCAGCTAGCAGCTACAGTGTTGAGGAGTGCAAATAAGATCTCCATCATGGTAGAAAATTGTATGAGACAGCTGTGGTCTAAGGATCGACTATTTCCACACCAGCTTGTCCGGCAGTGCTGTGTATCTCGCATCACATGGGGTGTGAAGAAGCACAGGGTCTGGATGTGCCGCTCTGTGGGCCTGAAATTGATCAGTAGCCTTAGACAGTGACAGCCTGATCATCCACTGTAAAGTTCTCCATCCCACTTTATCTAAAGCAAGAGTTCTTTCAGCAGTTACAGAGATCTGTATACCTTGTCTCCCACAAATGTTTTTAAATGAGAAAAGTTAAGTATATGGAAACACAAAGGAAATTGATCAGGTAACAGTTATCTCAATATTAAAGGACAAATTTTGATATAGAAAATATGCACTGTGCCAGGGATTTAGCTCAGTGGTTCTGCCACCGCCTCGCAACCACAAAAACCTGAGTTTGATCCCCAGTGCCAAAAAAAAAATATGCATTTCTTTATTAAACATTAAATAAGAACTAGTAGTAGATAGAATGGCTGCAATAATTTTGATATAGTAATAAGTAAATATTTCAAGATATTTGCAACAACAAATTTCATATATATTTATTTATTTCATATATTAAAAAAATACGATTTATACTTGGAGAGACTCATGGTAACTGCTGTTATTGCTACTGTGGCCTATTGCTTACATTAGTGATTTAAGGGGATGCAAACTTTCAGTTAGGAATTAGTAAAAATAAGTACACGTTTTCCCCATTCCTGCTGATTTATTCTGTTTATTCTATCCAGCACCTTCCACTAAGAATCTTTGAGACCCCTAGGTTGAAAACTTCTGTTGTAAACCCTAAGCTACTCATTAATAATCTTGTGTGAATCCATTATTTCATTAGGAATTGGAAATGGTGGGGATTTTGTTGTTTCATTTTTGTTTTTGTAACTCTGTTATCTCTTTTCCTTGTGGAACTGGAATTCTTTTAATAACTTTCCATTGCTAGTGCTGTTTAGTTACCTTGAAATACAGTTCAAATAGGATAAATAATACCCATTTTGCAGGTGAGATAACTGATAGCCAAAGAGCTCATTTGCCCAGTGATAAATAGTTTAAAAAAATGATGGAAACCCAAATGAGTCCAGATCTGGCCATTCTGCAGTCTACATGCCCGACTAAAATTCTGCCTGACCATTTACTAGCTGGTTATCCGGCATCTTCCCGGCTTCCTAGTTTGGCAGCCGGCTCATTCTTTCCTCATTGCCATGGTGTTTGATTTTTGTCAGACGGCTGATTCTGTTTGTGAATGTGCTTCATGCTGCCCCTAGTGGCTACTCAAGTTGAGAAGACTCCATAAGTGGTCCTACCAAAAAGATCAGAGTAAGAAATCCCTTCCCTTAACTCAATGCCAGGCTTGCATTCCAGTCTGAGGTATGATGTGTTTTGTGGAGACATTTCTCTGTTAACTCATCTTGATCTTATTCTGAACAAAAATTCCTAAGCTGTTCTCACACATGCTGCTGTGGAGTATTCATTAATTAATCAAAGTAATTCATTTCAACCATCATTCACTCAAATAATAATCTGCCTGGATAGGCATTTATTCAAAACATCCAACCACCTACCTATTGACTCACCCATTCAGTGTTCAGCAAGAGCACTGTGTCCAAGACACCAGGCTAGGGAACGCTTGAGAACCGGAGCCCTGAATCCTGCTGTCCTTTCAGTTTGCATTCTAAATAGGAACTAAACAAGCATACACGAGTACTACAGTTCTAGAATCTGCTACAGGCGATGAAGTATAC